GTAAAGTTATCCCTGTAACAGGCCGTGGCAGCCCATAGGGTTGTGAGATGCCGAGGCTCCCACATTTTCTAGACAGTTGGTTCACATATGGCAGTGAGGTTCTCAGCCTTACACTCTGGCTGCCCTTAACCTCCCAGAAGATTCCTGGCACTCATTTCTGTTAGAGACTTGAGTTGACCCCAGGGCCACAGTGCAGCTGGAAGGATTAGGTAAACCAAAAAAATCTACATCTTCACAACACGAACCCATGACCTTCCGGCTTGTAGCATGGTGCCCCCTGGTGCAGTACTAAGATTCTGTAATGTGGTGAAGGAGCTGGGTTCAATAACAGGGGACATGTTAAGTTTAATAATTACTGACTGCCCAGGGAAGATGCTTCACCATGGAGTTAGTTACTTGATCAGATGTTTTTTTAATTCAAATGATTTACAAACAAGAACATATGTAACTTTCATGAAATAATTTGAGAAAAAATATATTTCAAAGTATACTTTTTAAATGGACGGATTAGTATCACAAAACATATATCACCATATATATTTGTGTAAATACCTCAAAAATGGATGTCACATAATAATTCTGGTGCGAATAAGGTGATATGTAATCATCATATCTGCATGTTAATAATCATGAAAGATTAGCTACTGCTACTTAAGCCTTATGTGAACTTTCCATTTCTAACATTAAAGCAGATTTGTACTAAATGTCATGATACATCTTACAACCTTCAATATAACTTGCCATATTTATTTGAACTTGCTCTGTGTTTGCTGTCTACTTCGTGTTGGTTTCTTCCTTGGTTTATTCTTTGACCCTGAAGTCGGAGGTGACATGCTCCTCTGAAAAGACAGCTGACTTTCAACAGACTACATGGCATTATATCCCAGAAGACATAACTCTTCATAACCACCACTGTGAGAACCTCAAATCCTCTATAATTAACCCGTTGCCGTGGTTCGTCGTTTATGTTTCGTCAGGGATTTAAATCGTCTGGGGGGGTTCGACGTGTATGTTTCGTTCAGCTGCACACCTATGTTATAACGCCCATAATAATTGATGGTTTTGCTGTAGATTGTTAGATTTTTCGCTGGCCTGTTGTCAGTAGAACAGAGTATAAATAAGACACGACTTTATCTGTGCCAAGTCATCGTTACATATGCCTGTCTTGCAGCAAAGTTCCTGTGGTTCTGGCGAGCGGTTTCTAGCTGTACTCTTATGAAGGCGTGTTTTCTTTGCTTCGAAGATATAAACAGAAGAGACGTGATGTTTACTGTTGTATATGATATCATATTACCCTGAGCTGGCCACATTGACACACTCAACTGAAATTCTTAGAATAGGGTTGTCCAGTAATTTATTCTCGCATTATCCATTGATTTCGCACAGTACAAAGGCCCAGTTCTGAGAAAAACGCCACAATTTAAGGCAGAACACTGTGGTCACCCCCTGAGACGATACGGATGTGTGTGGGGGAGGGAAAAAGAACTCATTCCTTCATGTATTATCGCTCAAGTTGACGCCATTTTATCGTACTGACCTTGGTGGTCGTTTCGAGGGATGACCATAAATATTTTTTTGAGCCAGCTAAGCTCTACTTTCGTTCACTAGATACCAGACAGTTCTTAGAATAACTTCATGAATTCTGTGGTCACCCCTACGACATCTCCTGCCGCCAAAATGGATGGAATATCAAAGGCATAGCAACAACCCCTTGTTATGATAACTCGTAACGTTGAATTTACTACAGCTGACCTGGCAACTAAACGGGTCACGGAAAGACATTTCCTTGAAGTATACCCCTCACGGGTAAGAAGGCAAGGCCGCACATATGTGTGGTTAAAAAAAAGGGCCAAAAAAAATACACAATATTGGAGCGGAGAATGGTGAATGTGAGGCACCGTTGGGTTATACGAATGCTTCAAGGCCTTCCTTCTACTAAACCAACTGCCTCCATTACCGAGATACAGGGCGCTCATATTATAAGGTAAGGTTATAAAAACCATCTTTTAAGATCATTTTAGTGAAAGTTTCATGCTTCAAGGCGTACCATTCACTGCTCAAATACTAAAAAACCTGCTTCCATTGAAGATATAAAGGGCGCTCATATTATAAGGTAAGGTTATAAAACCACCTTTTAAGATCATTTTAGTGAAAGTTTCATGTTCCTATCTCATAGAATTTAAGAACAATGATGAATAAATCATTTTCGAGCAAAATTTAAATGGCCGGCTGAATATATTACCGCAGGAGACGCAGCCGCGGAATTTAAATTACCGCGTCAAAGGGTTAAATGTAACTTATGAAAGATCACCATCAGAGCCCATAAGAAGGAAGATTTCTTATGTGTTCTTGTTATAAGCGTCCCTGAAGAGCTCATTTCCTACCCAATCTTAAATACTATGACATGGCAGCTGAAAAGCCTGAATAGTGGAATCAGAAGCGACAGCCATTGCTAGGGAACGGCAAACACATTTCCATGACAACAAACACATGATGTGACAATGGAGGAACTGCTGGAAATGGTGTTTTCTTTTGGGTCCATGCCAAGGCTCCATAAGAAGAACCAATTGGCAGTAAGTCAAGAATGTGAGGACATTTGGATCAATGGGCTAGATGTGAGACAGTTACCAGCCATTAACAACATGAGCAGAAGAGGACATTGTTGGGATCTGTTAACAAGCAGCCACTTGTGAAGACAGACTGGGAAGACTTAGTGTGTGCTATAGTGATTTTTAAAGTGTGTGAATTAGCAATAGTGTCATAATTCCTCGTAATTAGTTTTAAGAGTTCAGTAAATCCAATTACCGATCAAAAATACATGTCCAATCACTAAATGCATGACAGTATTTATCTTAAATGTTTTTATTAAATTCCCAATGAATTAGCCATCTTTACATAAAGATGTAAGTTGTCCTTTGGTGTTTTTGACTTTCGAGATCAGAGCATATCTTATTTTTGGTTTGCTGATTCAAATAAACATGGAAGTTAACTTCAAGTAAATAAAAACTACAATAATTATGAAATACCAGAAAATACATGTATACACAAACATCACCACTCAAATAAATAAATAAAAGTAATAGAAACAAGTTAAATTTCATACTGGGTTTCCACCACTTTCAGAAAAATTAAATACTGTAGCGTGTAGGTCCTTTACTTGGTAAGGACCTCAAAACAGAATCTGCTGCTGGACAACATTTTCTTAATAAGTATACACAACCGTTACTGAGTAACACCTTCACAAACATGTTCCCATGGAAATGATTATAGTACAACAATAAATAGTGTCTTCTATGCAGACCATGCTAAGGGGTTATCAGTGGGACAAGTTTAGAAGGGAGTCTGTAAAGAGAAAACTTAGTTGGTGCAGTTGAGAATGGAAGCTGAAGGATCCCTACTGTTAAAGCTGTTACCAGGGAATGGCTGGTGAAGACACAGCAGACTGAAAAGACTTAGTATGTGCTGCAGAAATTTGTAAAGTGTGGAGATCAGCGATGGCACTGTAAGTGTAGTCACAAGTCATGTCTTAAGGTGGTCAATATATCCAGTCTCCAATCCAAACTGCATTCATAGTCACTCCTTCACATCACAACTGGTGTCAGAAGTAGATGGATTGTAATCATACTAACATGTGACATGGAGACTGCAATAGATAGTTGGATCATCAACTTACAAAGATGAAACAAATGATGGAATGGATGTTGGCAAGGATGGTTTCCATTCAAGAAGAAATGAAGACAGACAAAGAGGAAATGAAAGAGGCAATAAGAACCAAACAAGAAAAAATAGATGCTGACCAGGATGGAAGTCAAGATGGACGCCAATCTAAAGGAAATGAAAGAAGACATAAGAACCAACCAAGGCAAGGTAAATGCCCATCTGAAGAAAATGACAGCAAGGCTGGAAGCCAACACCAAAGCTGAAATGAAAACCAATAATGAGAAGTTCAAGGAACTTCAAAGTACTCTCATCTATTGGATACATATCCACCAAGGCCACTGAAGAAGAAATAATTGCCAAGATGGATGCCCATGAAGAAAGGATGGGAGGCAGTGTGAATGTCTGGAGAGCAAGGAGCCAACCTCAGTGGAGAAAGAGTATGTAGCTGTGCATGAGGAGGTTCCTAAAGAAGAGGCTGCGGTGAAAACTGTCAGAGCACTGAAGAAGCAGAATGGGGACCAGCATTTAGCTGAAGAAATGGACCCAGGGCAATGGTGGGTCCCAGAAGAAGCTGGCCATTGCCAGCAGAGGAATGATCTGCTGTGCCATTCCAGCACCATGCAATGGACACAGTAGTCAGGGACCAGGTGGGACAGTGTTACAAGAGGGACCTCAAGAGGATGGACATTTGGGAAGAGACATCAGGCACAACTGGAATGCAACAATGGCATAAGGAACTCTGGCCTAAAAAGCGATTATGTTTGTGAAGCGGGAGAACACTCAACAAGACCTTCAGGCAGACCATAGAGCTGGAGATTGCAAAACAAGCAGTCGGGACTTCCATTGGACTGTGGAAAATGAGTGTCAGGACATTGTGGAGGGGTCAGCCCCTCCGAAACGAAAGACTATAGTTAGTCAGCTGTAAGCGGCCTCCATAGTCTAGGGGTAATGTTCCCACCTCATGACTGAAGTTACGCGGGTTCAAACCCGGCGGAGGTCGTGGAATTTTTAAGGGCGGAAAAATTCAGGGAACAAGTCCTCCGGGAGGGACTTTAAGCCGTGGGTCCCGTGTCGTAGATTATGGCACGTAAAAGATCCCCATATCTCTAGGAGACCTCTGAGCAAAATTAGGCAAAAAAGTTTCCCGGCCAAGTAGTTTCCAGTGCCTCCAGTAGATGGGGAAGTTATCGGGTACCAATGCCAGCAGAGGGCCGACCTCGCTGGCAGAAAGGGGAGAGTTGTTGGGTACCACTGCCAGTAGAGGGCCGACCTCGCTGGCAGAAAGGGGAGATAGCGGGCACCAGTATCAGTAGGGTATGGCGACAGTAGAAATTAAAGGGGGACGTACAATAGACTATTAGTCGCAGTGCATGGGGAAACCCACCCCCTCTATACTGAATAACTGAATAGTCAGTTGTAAGGGCGTCTAAAGAGAAGACTTCCTCCGAGCAGTTGAAGAATTGCCAATGCTAGAAGCCATTACCAGGGAACGACTGGTGTAGACACAGCAGACTGAAAAGATTTAGCATGTGCACTGATTTGTAAAGTGTAGAGATCAACGATGGGGCTGTAACAAAATGTAATCACGAGTTGTGTGTTAAAGTTGTCAATAAATCCAATCTCCATTCCAAACCCCATCTATAGTTACACTCATAGAAGTGACAATATGAATGAGATCATATGTAAGAATAAACAACCTGCCTTGTGGATTTTTCATAGTACTTATCCTACAATACTTCAGAATATAAATTAAAAGAAAAATTACACAAATTATTAATTTAGCAAAAAAAACACTGCCACCAGAGGTGGTTTAACTGTGAACAGAGGAGTGACACAATGGGCAACTTTTTCGCACAGTAATATCTTGGTCTGCTGCACTGTGCTTACAGACTGTGCAAGTCCATGCAAGGGACATATCCATGAGAGGGCGCCCGGTGGCAACACAGATTGGAAAACGGTTGCCACAGCTTGGGCATACTCCACACCTGCAACATAAAGACATTTTCTCCAATTACTTAGTCACTATAGACAAATTATTTCAGTAATATTCTTTTCCCCATACTTCCAGCATTAAGCAGGTTGACACTGTGCTAACACAGCTCACTAACATTTAGGAAATAACCCCATTTCAATCTTAGGTATCCAAAGTGAGATTTGAGGTTCTCACATCAGTGACTATGAAAACTGCTGTCTTGGATGCAATGTCATATAGTCTGATGGACGTTTACTGACGTTTCAGAGGACTATTATTCATCAATTTTCCAGGGTATAAGTTGGGGGCGGCACATTCCTCCAAAACAGCAGTAAAAGTCTACCAGATTACACAGACTCATATCATGACAGTAATCTTTCCTGGTTGAGATTACTTGCTGTTTTCAAACACGTGAAAGTGCTACACATGACATATATTGAGTTGGCTTCCTTCTCAAAGTCACTAACCTTTACTGGGCTTCATCAATCACACTCTATTGACCATTCTTATCATCTGTCTTACATGTGATGCTCACATTCTCATGTTCACTGCCAACCAGCATTCCCAACTTCTTCCCCATCTACTGCATCTGATCTACAGCACTTTATAAATACTGTGACTTTCACTTATGGAGAGATCAGTTGCCATGGTCATGATCACTGCCACAGCAGTTCTACCCACCAGCCATCTTTATTGTGCCAGCTGGTGTCGGAATATGGTCCCCTGCCAAGAGCTATTCAAAATGCAGTTGTTTCAAACGATCCGTTTAATACTTATTATTCACTAGAGTGTGTAATAATAAGATCATCCCACCAGGAATGACCACAAAGTAAGTTATTCATTGCATGATTCACAGATCTGACATTCAGTGTTAAATGACTTGTGTCCTCAGTACTGTTACTTTCCTGTTCCAGGCAATTTGTACGAGCACCCATCAGTCATTCTGTAGTCTGACATCTCATTCCTAGTCCCAGAGGTAGCTGCAGCTTAGGCACAGTTTTTCCAATTCAGTATCTTGTGTGGTGGTACTGTCATGCCAACTGCCAAATCTGTCAGTATTACAATCATTTGCATCTTTTCACAGCCTGATGTTTTTATGATAACGGAGTCTGTACATATGTCAATGATGGTGTAATTGGATGATACATCAAAATACACAGATGCTTCATCTGCATTGCCTCAAAGTGTGATGGTACCTTTCTGCAAAGTTATGTCTTGGCTGCGTCATTTATACACACCACCACAAAATATCTGATTGGTGTGCTATCTCAAAAATGGAGTGGTGTCCGATCATCGCAGTATTCTGCACAAGATCTCAACATGTGAGAAATGCATGTTTATGCATATCCTGACTGATGAGCAATAGCACAGTTGTGTATTACAAACTCTGTGGATTTAGTCCACAAGCAAATTATATTGACCAAGCGACCGCCGCTTTTCGGCGAAGTTAGTGCCAACTTTTGCGGATAGAGGGTGTTGCGTGGTCCGTGAAACAAATCCCCATGGCTGTTAATTTCGGTTTTCTAGACCAGAGCCGCTATTTCCTTGAAATAGCTCCTCAATTATCCTCATGAGGCTGAGTGGACCCCGTTCCAGACCCACTACTTCTCAGCAAATCTGTTAGCACCAGGAATCAAACCAGGACCCCTGGATCTGTAGCCAGGAACTCTGACCACTAGACCACAGAGGCGGTCCACAATTGTGTACTGCATGACTAATATTCAAGAAAACTTGGGACCACAACTCTTTCCAAAGTAAACACAGTGATCACAATTCAAGAACAATACAAAGTGCACTTGTAAAGTTCAAAACATAGAACTTAAGCATATGCTTCCAACACTGGCATAATTGCTAGACTGGATGCATCTGGTTAAGAGAGAAAGACTCTGAAGGGGACAGCATGAAGCAGAGGGTAAATGCAGTTATCACAGAGGGAAGAATACAACCCAGAAATGATCTCATCACACCATGTAAATAGTGAGTGTAGCTATTAAAATCAATACTACCTTCAAGATAAACACTTATCTTCTTATTTATCTTACCAACAATTCTTTGTAATTTGTTCAGTTTTCTCCAAAAACCAAAATAACTGCAACAACATACTTACCAATCAGGTATCATAGTCTCACAATTTGTACATTCGGAACGAGTACTACGTGCATCTTTAGGTGTGTATTTGGTGAAAATGTCCATTGCCAAGGCTTCATATTCCAATCTTTTGCCTTCTGGAATCTGTCAAAATGAAATAAATTAGCAGTAAATTTGCTAGTTAATCAAGAGTTTATAATTCCTTTACTTAAATAAATACAACATTACTTCAAATATAAGCTGTCCTGAAATTTAAGACACATGCAGTTTTTGAATGTGTTTTAGAAGGAAAAAAAATGAGAAACGAGCACATTCCTCGAATTTAAGATGCATCTTCATTTTTCAATGGGGAAAAAATGTGTAAAATATGTGTTTGATATTCAGAGTAACATGGTAATATATCCTGAATTATGGAAAGCATCATGCATACATATCCCACTAGAGTCTACCCAGTCATGAAGCTTTTAGCCTATTTTCCTTTATTAAGGAAAGGAAAGTAAGTGCATGAACCAACATAATTTTGTACATAGACAGATCATAAACATACCTACATATTAAGTATCAAATACTGTTTGCAAGTCAGTAATTACAAATGTGACACTTTGGTGTAATATCTGACAAATATAACAAGCCAGAATTCGTGCTTGACAGAAATGAAATAAAATAATAATGATTATACATCTGTGTAGGGCTAGAAATCTATGTAATAGGAAAGTGGGCTTTATGAGCTCTGCTTGAAAATCTTTGGTAATGTCCAGCAGTCAGAAATAACATGTCAATTTATGAACTTGTGAGGTGGGTGTGACTCTAAAATGTAGGGTCCTTAAATATTGACCCATAATAGACCCTAGAAGAATATGAACTTTTCTAAAGCAGTGCTTTTGTACAATGTAAAACATCATGGCAGCTATGCAAACATCGTTTGTTTTCAGTGTCACAATGACAATTAATGAACCAATAGAGCTAGGAACATGAAATTTTGTATGAAGATAGATTAAAATAGGGCAGTGGAGAAGCTTATCCTTGAAAGGAACTTCTTTCTTTCCTTAAGAGAGTGGATGAGAGGCTTCCATGATCTGCTCAGGGAGAACCTGTTCATGTTGTTGCAGTGGAGCTTGATCTCCTATCACTTCCCTAACATTCTGGAAGTGACTATGAAGTCTCATTGAGTCTGTCACAACTTTATCAAAAACTTGCTACTATTTTTCATACTTGGCACAATCCCAATAACAGAAGAGAAACAGTACAAATAATACAAAATTATTTTATTGTTCTTGGAAAGGAAACAAACCTAGTTGAAATTTTATAAATCAGTAGCATATCTAGTTCTCTACATGAAACTGGAGAGAGACATCGAGAGACCTAAATATAATACAACCAGCAGAGATGAAATACTTAAGAACAGTTAAAGGCTTTTCTAGACTAGATTATATTAAGAATGATGTAGGCAAAGGGGGGGGGGAAGATAGAAGCCCCTGGAAATATGAAATGAATAGGT